AAAAAAAAAAGAAAATATCTTCTGCCACTCAGTAGGTTGCCTTTTCATTTTGTTGATGGTTTCCTTTGCTATGCAAATCCTTTTTTAGTTTGATTTAATTCCAATATTTTATTTTAGCTTTTGTTTCCTTTGCCTGAGGAGACATATCAGAAAAATGTTGCTAAGGCTAATGTCTAAAAGATTATTGCCAATATTTGCTTCTAGGATTTTTTTTTTATGGTTTCAGGTCTCACATTTAGGTCTTTAATTCATTATGAATTTATTTTTTGAGTATGGTCTAAGAAAGTGGTCCAGTTTCATTCTTTTGTGTGTGGTTATCCGGTTTTCCCAACACCATTCATTGAAGAGGCTGCCTTTTCCTCATTGTATATCCTTGCCTCCTTTGTCATAGATTAATTGACCATATAATTGTGGGTTTATTGCCGAGCTCTCTATTTTGCTCTAGGCCTTCAGTACTGTGTTGAATAAAAGTGGTGAGAGTCGTATCCTTGTATTGGTCCTGATCTTAGAGGAAAAACATTCAGCTTTTCACAGTTGAGAATGATGCTATCTGTGGCTTTATCATATATGATGTTGAGATATGTTTTCTCTAAATTCACTTACTTGAGAGTTTTTATCATGAACAGATGTTGAATTTTGTCAAATGCTTTTTCTGCATCTATTGAGATGATCATATGGTTTTTATCTTTCATTTTGTTAATGTGGTGTAGCCTGTTGATTAATTTGAGGATATTTAACTATTCTTGCATTCTTGGAATAAATCCCACTTGATCATGGTGAATCTTTTTAATGTATTGTTGAATTCAGCTTGCTAATATTTTGTTGGGGATTTTTGCATCTATGTTCATCAGGGATATTTAACCTGTAATTGTTTTTTGTTTTTCTGTTTTGTTTTTAAGTGTCTTTATAGTTTTGGTATCAGGGTAATGCTGACCTCATACAATGGATTTGGAAGTTTTCCTTCCTCTTCTATTTTTTGGAATGGTTTGAGAAGGATAGGTATTAACTCTTCTTTAAATATTTGGTAGAATTCACCTATGAAGCCATCTAGTCCTAGACTTCTATTTGTTGGGATTTTTTTTTTTCCAATTCAATTTCATTACTAGTAATAAGTCTGTTCAGATTTGCTGTTTCTTCTTGATTCAGTCTTGGAAGATTGTGTTTCTAGGAGTTTATCCATTTCTTCTAGGTTGTCCAATTTGTTGGCATATAATTGTTTGTGGTACTGCCTTATAATCCCTTTTATTTTTGTGATATTGCTGGTTACTGCACCTTTTTCATTTATTTTACTTTATTTTCATTTCTTTTACATTTACTTATTTGAGTCCTCTATCTCTTTTTCTTGATAAGTTTGGCTAAAAGTTTATCACTTTTGTCACTCTTTTCAAAGAACCAAGTCATGGTTTCATAGGTCCTTTCTGTTGGTTTTTAACCTCTATTTCACTTATTTCTGCTCTAATCTTTATTATTTTCTTCTTTTTGCTAGCTTTGGACTTGTTCTTTTGCTAGCTCTTTTAGTTGTAATATTAGTTTATTTATTTGAGATTTTTCCTATTTCTTGAGGTAGGCCTGTGTTGCTATATACCTCCCTCTTAGAACTGCTTTTGATGCATCCCAAAGACTTTGGACCATTGGGTTTTCATTTTTATTTGTCGCCACATATTTTAAAATTTCCTCTTTGATTTCTTGGCTGACCCATTCATTGTTTACTAGCATATTGTTTATCTTCCATGTATTTGTGTTCTTTCCAGTTTTTTTTTTCTTATAATTGATTCCTAGTTTCATGTGGGTGTGGTCAGAAAAGAAACTTGATGTGATTTCAGTTTTCTCAAGTTTATTGAGACTTTTTTGTGGCCTAACATGTGATCTATTTTGGAGAATGTTTCGTATGCAAATGTAAAGAATCTGTATCCTGTTTTGGATAAAGTGTTTTGTATGTATCTGCTAGGTCCATCTGATTTAATGTATCATTAAAAGCCATTGTTTCCTTGTTGATTTTCTGGCTGGATAATCTATCCATTGATGTAAGTGAGGTGTTAAACTCCTCTACTATTATTGTTAGTGTCTCCTTTATGTCTGTTAATAATTGTTTTACGTGTTAAGGTGCTTCTATGTTGGGTGTATAGATATTTACAATTGTCATATCATCTTGTCGAATTTTTCCTTTTATCACTATGCAGTGCCCTTTGTCTCTTACTGCGGTCTTTGTTTTAAAGTCTTTTGTCTAATGTAAGTATTATTACCCCAGCTTCTTTTTTTCTTCCATTTGCAGAGTATGCTTTTTCCAGCCCTTCATTTTCAGTCTGTACATGTCTTTAGGTGTAAAGCGAGTGTCTTCTAAGCATCACATAGCTGAGTCACCCTGTGTTTCTTTATTAGAACATTTAGTCCATTTGCATTTAAGGTAATTGTTGATATATAGATATATATATATATATATATATATTGACATTTTGTTAGTTGTTTTCCAGTTGTTTTTGTAGTTCTCTGTTCCTTTTTATCTTGCTTTCTTCTCTTATTTGATGGCTTTATTTAGTGTTATATTTGGATTCATTTCTCTTTATATTTTGCATATCAACTACAGATTTTTAATGTGTGGTTACGATTAGGTTCATATATAACATCTTATGTGTATAGCAGTCTATATTAAGTTGATGATTACTTAATTTTGAACACATCCTAAAAGCACTAAAATGTAACCGACCTTCACATTTATGTATAAGATGGCGTGTTTTACCTCTTTTTATTTTATGTATCCCTTGATTGATTTTTGTAGATATAATTGATTTTTACTACATTTGTGTTGTAACCTTCATACTGGCTTTATATGTGATTAATCTACTACCTTTATTTATTGTTTGCTTTTACCTATGAATTTTTAAACTTTCATTAATGTTCTTCTAGTTATGGTCTTTTCTTTCAAATAAGTTTTCTAACATTTCTTATAAGGCTGGCTTAGTGGTCATGAATTCCCTTAATTTTTGTTTTTCTGGGAAACTCTTTATCTCTCCTTCTATTCTGAATGATAACCTTCCTGGGTAGAGTATTCTTGGTTGTAGGTTTTTTTTCCTTTTAGCACTTGGAATATATTATGTCATTCCTTCTGGCCTGCAAAGTTTCTGCTGAAAAATCAGCTGATATCCTTATGGGATTTCTTTTGTATCTAACTATTTTCTTTTCTCTTGCTGCTTTAAGAATTCTCTCTTTATCATTACTTTTTGCCATTTTAATTATCATGTATGCTGGTATAGAACTCCCTGGATTAATATTGGTAGGGGCTCTCTATGGTTCCTGGATCTAAATATCTGTTTCCTTCCCTAGATTAGGGAAGTTTTCAGATATTATTTCTTCAGATAAGTTTTCTGCCCCCCTTCTCTTTCTCTTCTCATCCTGGAATCCTTTTAATGTGAATGTTATTGTGCCTGATGATGTGGCTGACTTCCCTTAACCTATTCTCATTTATTATTAGTCTTTTTTTTTTTCTTTTTACTGTTCAGCTTGGTTGCTTTCCATTCACCTGTCTTCCAGATCACTGATCCATTCTTGTGCCTCCTCTAATCTGCTATTGATTCCCTCCAGTGTTTTTTCTTATTTTTGTTATTGAATTCTTTTTTTTTTTATTTCAGATATTTTTTTACTTCTTCAAGTTTATTTATCAGGAGTGACTGAAATAAAAACTGTAATGGAGTCCCATCATCATGGAAATGGCTTTAAGAGAAAACTGGTCAGATGAATATCATTCCCTCCCATTTCAACCAGTAAATAGTTGCTATTGATAAATAGCCAACAATCTGTCAAGAATGCTCAAGATATGTTATATAATATTGCATGCCTGTTCACACGGGGGATAAGCTAGTTAATAACCTATGTGAACTTATTGATTTCATCACACAAGACCAGCACAAAAGCACCACCTATGTCTCTGAGAACATTGGGCTGTGCACAGTTGACAAAAGCTTTGACTCTTTATCCCAAGCAATCTTCCTCCAGCAGTCAAGTGAGCCTGCATACATGATGTCAGTTCATTTGCACCCTGACTACCTCATCATATGACAGTGAACAGTGTCAAACAGATAGAATGTCAACCCAGCAGCCACTGTGACAGAATGTGTGAACATCCAGCTGATGAAGATGTGAGTATTGTTGGGATCTGGAAGCATTCCCTTTGCAGTGTCATAGATACCGAAGTAGACAACTTGGTAGGTGATAATACCCTACAAAGACACACTAAATGCTTGGCACAGGCCCTTAATCCCATGAGATTTGTAGATCTTAACCAGGCAGCCACTGAGGCCTCTGAATTCCCCTTTAGCTCCAGCTTGGCCACATCAGCTGCTAAACGCATATGGGCAAAATTAAGAGGATACACAAAACACAAGGATCTATAACCCCAGCAGCACTACCTGATGCCAGATTCCCTGCAAAGTAGCACCAAAACTGGGTTCTCTTGTCCACACCACCCAGGAAGGTCTGCTTGTGTTTATCTTTGAAGGCAAAGTTGAGAGCCTGGGTAGGAAAGTATCTGATGACATTGGCCAAGTTACCACACCAGGACAGGGCTGCCTGCTCCTTAGGGATATGAGCCATGCAGTCTATAGTGCCCTTGTATTGCTTATCTGTGGTGATTTGCCTACTGGCATGCTGCACCTGCAGCAGCAGCTTGACCTGCTTGATGGGAAGTATCGTGGTCTTAGAGATGGCCACGGCCAATTCACCCACCAGGAAGTCCTTGGCAATGAAGGATACAGCAGCATCTGTCATGCTGAAAGGAAAGAGGAGGGAGACAACTGCCTGGTTATTGAATTCTTCATCTCTGACTTGTTCTGTTTTATGTTTCCTATCTTTTTGTTGAAGTCAAAGAACTCCACTCTTCTCAAGTCCAGTAAGTGTCTTTATGATCATCACTTTGAATTCTTTATTAGACATATTGCTTATCTTCCTTTCACTTAGCTGTTTGCTGTGATTTTGTCCTGCTCTTTCATTTGGGACATATTCCTCCATATCCTCATTTTGTCTAACTCTCTGTGTGATTCTCTGTATTAGGGAGGCCAGCTTTGTCTCTTGGTCTTGAAAGTAGTGGCCTTGTATAAAAGAGGTACTGTGGTTCCCTGAGCGCAATGCCTCCTAGTCACCAGAACCAGACGCTCCAGGGGGCCTTCTATATGCTCTGCATGCATTCTACTGTTGCCTGGGCTCCACTTGCCTTCAGCCCAATCTTCTGGAATAACTTGCTTTGCCTTCTTTGGGCCCCTTGGGCAGGGTCTGGTCCGGGCACTATTGAGAGGCATATCTGAGGCTGCTGTGAGCTCCTCAGTGGGTGGGGTCAGAGTTGTGCTAAGTGGTTGCAATTGGCCTTTCTGTTGCAGCTGCAGCTGTACCAACAGCAGGGCTCTCCCCCTGCATGGCCTGCTGAAAGGCGTGGCTGCTGGAACAGCAGATGCACTGGGGTGTGGGGTTATCTCCCCCTCTCCCTCAGACTTTGGAGCAGCACTAGTCCCTGCAGGGGCTGCTTTGGATGGATGACTGGGTGGGTTGGCTGGGAAGGGTCCCCAGGGGAATCCAGGGATAGGTCACGTGTTGCTGGGAATATAGGTGGAGAGTGTTAGGGCTGGTTCCCACCAGCATCTTGCTCCCTAGGCTGGGGGAGGGGAAGAGAAAAGGCACCTACCAGCATTTTTGTTCTTGGAGAAGTCCCCTGACAACCCCTGCCCCTCCAGCACGTGCTTTGAGATTAGTAAATAGGTCTTCATGTATACGTATACCCCAGGTGCTTTTCAAGTTGCTGCTTCAGTGCTGTGTTTCAGGCCAGGTGGTTACATATGCTGGCTCTTTAAGGACATAGATTCCATTTCCTACCTCACTCTGACTCTTTTCAAGTTAAGCCTGCTGATTTTTAAAGTACCCAGAGATAAGACCCACTGGTTTTCAAAGCCAGAAGTTATGGGGACTCACCTTCCCAGAGCAGATCTCCAGTGCCTAGGGTGCCGATGTGGGGTCTGACCCTCTGCTCTCTCGGCTTGTGGTCTCTCGCCTGGGGTTTGGTTCCCAGCTGCTTCTCCCCCGCTACCCTTTTCAATGTGGCCTCATCTCCACGATTCACCATGGAAGGTCTTAACACACCTTCCAGTCTGTTGGGTCTTTGGGTCATTTCCAGAGTTTGTTGCACAAATGTGGCTGTTAGCTCGGTGTGTCTGTGGGATGAGGTGAGCTCAGGATTCTCCTCTACCATCCTCCTTTATCTCTCGTGAAAATACTTATTTAGCAACATAATTTTGCTGAAATGAAGGCAAGAAAATGCATTTTGTAAAATAAATATATACTTTTGTACAAGTTAGTTAAATACCACTAACCCATTTCTAAGGTCTAAATATTTGTGTCCCCCTCCCCCCCCAATTCATATGTTGAAATCCTAACCCCTCAGGAGGTAGGGCCTCTGGGAGGTGATTAGGTCACAAGGGAGGAGCCTTCCTGAATACTATTCGTGCCCTTATAAAAGAGATCCCACAGAGCTCCTAGCTCCTTCTGCCATGTGGGGATACAGGAGAAGTCTGACCAGAAGAGGCACCTTACCTGACCCTGCAGGCACCCTGACCTCAGACTTCCAGCCTCCACAACTGTGAGAAATGATTTCTGTAGTCTATAAGCCACCTAGTCTGTGGCGTTTTCTTATAGCAGTCTGAACAGATACCCACCAATAGGACTCGCAGATACGCAAGATTTTAATTCATCCATCTTTGACTTTTTGCAACTTTTAGTCATATAAAAAGTATACCTTTAAATGTATTGTGTAATGTTGCCATGATGAAGCCATACTTATCAAGGTAAAGGATAGAACATATTTTGTTTTCAGCTTGATTCATAATCTTTACTAGCCATATGAACACGAGCTCCCATTTGTTCCAATTCCTAGAAACAGGTCAGGATAGGCTGCAATAATGTGCAACATATTCATAATCCTTGTGAATGAAAACATATTGCAATCGCCCATTTAAAAACAGATTCTCAGATGAGATTTTAAAATGTCACTGTAGGCTGTGCATAGTAGGTAAAAATGAACACAAAATCATAGGGAAAAAAGGTAAAAATAAAGGATTGAACAATATATGTACCGGGGAAATGCCACAAAAAAGAAAGATGAGATAATATCAGATAATGTAATATCATTCAAGGCCAGAAATATTAAACAAGTAAATAGGGACTTCATATTGGTGGAATATAGAATTCTATACACCTAACAAGACAACTGTGAGCTACTAAAATGGTTTAGGAATACAAAAAAGAGAAATAGATAAATACATAATTATAGTGACATACTTTAATATACTTCTCCAAGGAATCAACAAATAATTCATAACAACAGAAATGCATGGGGTTTATGGGGCGCCTGGGTGGCTCAGTCGGTTAAGCGTTCGACTTCGGCTCAGGTCATGATCTCATGGTTCGTGAGTTCGAGCCCCGCGTCAGGCTCTGTGCTGACAGCTCAGCCTGGAGCCTGCTTCAGATTATGTGTCTCCCTCTCTCTCTGACCCTCCCCTGTTCATGCTCTGTCTCAAAAATAAACATTAAAAAAAAAAAAAAAAAGAAATGCATGGGGTTTGAGTGAACAACATAGTGTAAGCTTAGATAATAGATTCATAGATATATAAATAGATACATGTATACATATATAGTAGATAGATAGAGTGACAGATTTACCTCGCAGAGGCTATAAACATTACAAACACCCATGGATTCATTTGAGATCTTAATGCAGCAAGAATGGAATGTTCATACTGGTATGGGACAATGGAATGAAGGAGGTGGGCGCAGATTTCCATTTGGGGAGATCTGATAGGATCTGGTGAGCAAAGACTTGGAGGAAAACAGGTGGTTGGGAGGAAATGTTCCAGGCAGAGGGACTCCAGGGACCAGCCGGCACAAGGGCTCTAAAGCAGGGAAGTGCTTAGTGAGTTGGAAGAACCATAAGATGGTCCGTAAATCCCTTTGACAGACAGCTCCGGGCCTTTCACGTGTGGGTCTTTCTGCTGCAAATGCACTCTTTCCCATTCATATCTGGAAAATGTCCATGCACACTTTAAGCTGAGCTCAAAGTTCACGTCCTCAGCGAAGGTCCCCAGCTCTCCCGGGAAGGATGTGTCCCTCCGTCCTTTGCGCTCCCAGCACTTTGGCCCGTAGCTCGGTATTTGCATTGATCACCTTGTGGCTTGTGGATTTCATGCCTGACTCCCACCTCCAAACTAGGAACAAAGGAAAGGTAAGGACTCAGCTCTGCTTCCCCGTAGGTCAGGCTTGGTACCTGAGACCTTGAGGAAGTGTTTGTGGATCAAGCGAGGGACGTCCTGTACTAAGCGATGCAAGTCCTCTTTCGGCTACTTGTTTCCTGTCTTGCGTGCAAGTGGCAAGTGTGCTCCTAAGTGCCTTCTGCGGGCAGTGGCAAGGTCTCTGTGCCATGCGGAATAATCGGGAGCTAATCAACCCCTGCTCTGGGTAGAGCTGGGAGGATCAAAGGACAGACGTGAAAGGAGTGGCGAGGGTTAACTGACAGCACAAAATGAATGTGGTGTCCTATCCCCCAGGCTTCTGGAAGGATCTCTGTCAACTAAGTCTGGCAGAATGTATGGGATAGGCTGCTGAGAGGAGAAGGGCATCAGGGAGGCAACCTGAGGCCAGGACTACATCTGCGTCACTGAATCAACCCCAGACCGGTGGCACGGTTGAAGAGATGTCTGCTGATATGTGAGTGGGTGACCGAAAGGGTCAGAATTTGGGCCAGAAAGAGTTGAGATGGGCTCCAGTGAAGGAGGGGACCTCATATCCGATGTCCCAGCCAAAGCCAGCCATTTACAATTTTAAGAGACCTGCTTTGCCCCAACTCTGAACATTTGCATCCCCTCCTGCTCCGCCTAGAAGGTTCTTCCCTCCTGTAGGAGGCAGGCCAGAAGCACAACCTTTTGTCAAGATCCGAGTTGGAGTTTGTACTCTGCCCCATACTTAATGTGAGTCTTACAATTTATACCTGCCGTCTGTAACTTTGCTGTCCAGATGCTGGCCATGTGTGGCTATCAGGCATTTGAAATGTGACTAGTCCAAGTTGTGTTTAAGTTAATGGGCGCCTGGGTGGCTCAGTCGGTTAAGTGTCCGACTTCGGCTCAGGTCGTGATCTCACAGTCCGTGAGTTTGAGCCCCGCGTCGGGCTCTGTGCTGACGGCTCGGAGCCTGGAGCCCGCTTGGGATTCTGTGTCTCCCTCTCTCTCTCTCTGCTCCTCCCTCAGCTGTGCTCTGTCTCTCTCTCAAAAATAAATAAACATCGAAAAAAAAATTTTTAAAGATGTGTTCAAGCTAAAATACATGCTAGATTTAGAAGACTTAGTAGTATGAAGGGCACCTGGGTGGCTCCGTTGAGCATCTGACTCTTGATTTCAGCTCAGGTCATGATCCCAGGGTTGTGGGTTCGAGCCCCATGTCAGGCTCTGTGCTGAGTGTGGAGTCTGCTTGAGATTCTCTCTCCCTCTGCCCCTTCCCTGCTTGTGCTCTCTCTCTCTCTCAAAAAAAAAAAAAAAAAAAGACTTAGTATGAAAGAAAAGTAAACTACCTGATTAATTACAGGATAAAATGATAATATTTTAAATATATTGGGTTAAAGGAAATATATTACTGCAATTAGTTTTGTCTCTTCCTATTGTACTGTGTTAATGTGGCTACTAGAAACTGTAAAATTGCAGCCCTATAAAAGGGGGATAATGGAGCGCCTACTTCAGGGGGTGCTTATAGAGAGATTAAATGGGATCATAATTATGAAATGTTTAGCCCAGTGCCTGACAAAGAGCAAATGCTCAGAAAAGAGATCACCACGTTATTACTGCAGTATTTCATGGACTCTAATACCCCCATTTTTGTTCCCGCATTTCTGCCTCTTGGACACTTGGATGTGTCCTAGAGTTGACAGTAGAGTCCCCAGATCCCAGTTATAAAACATAGTCGTCACCGACTGCCTACCCTTAGCCATCCAAACTTGCGGCGTCAGTGGCTTAGATGAAAATCTAGGAGATCTGAAGGGGGCGCTCTTAACCTCTACCAATCAAAATGTTAAGGGAAGGGGGTGGGCAGAGGGCAACTCCAACTTGTTGAGCAACATCCCCAAAATAGGAATGAAAACTGGGCGCCTTTATACCTACTTACAAAGTGGGCAGCATTGTTCATCACCCTTTTGTGGCTCTGAAAAGTTTCACAGCCCAGGGAGGCGGGGCGCCTGGGTGGCTCAGTGGGTTAAGTGTTTGAGTCTTGACTTCTGCTCGGGTCGTGATCTCACAGTCGTGAGCTTGAGCCCCGTGTTGGGAGGCTTCCCCAGAGAGAATCAGCTTAAGATTCTCTCTCTCTCTCCTTTCTTTCTGTCCCTCCCCCATTCTCTCTCTCTTTCTCTCTCTCTCTCTAAAAAAACAGCAAACAAACACACAAAAAACTTTTAAGAGCCAAGAGAAGGGAAGGGGAGAAGATGAGGACTTGCTCAAAGTGCTTGAAAGCATAGGTGGTGAGATTGGAGGAAAAACACATTGGTGACTAGGTCAGAGAGGGACTCCAGGGACTAGAGCTCTAAATATAAAGAAGCTTTAGGAATACAATACCTTAGTCAATTTCTATTTGTTTTCCTTCTTATGTGTGTATGTAATGATATGATTTTTAAAAATTCATACATAAATATGCCTAAATAAGTTTACTAAATTTAAGATTAGAACCCTAGTTAAGAAAAAGGAATTGCATTACGGTTTAATTGGGAATGCTTTTTCTTTTCTTAGTGGAACACAAAATGACAGTGCAAATTATTTATAATGAATGCATCTTTGATTTGGTGAAACATGGTATTCTCTTCAAAGGACTTCTCTTCCTTGAAGTCCAAGGTCAAGTGACCTCTCAAATACAACATTAATAACTTAGACTTACCTTTTTCTTTGTCCTGTAATACTTCTCTATAATACTACCTATACAATTTCTTTTTTGTGTTTGTTGTTCGTTGTCTCCCTGTTAGAATGCACATTCCACGAGGGCAGGAGTGCTCATCTGTATCATTCCCTGATGTCTCGCAAGCCCCTAGACCAGCGCCTGGCACACAGAGAATAAGCAGACGAGTGAAATCCTTTTGTGTGTCGGGCACTGTTCTGAGTGCTTTGCCGGGATGATTTCATTTAACATTTACAAGAAACCTAAGGTAAGTATGACTACCATTCACATTCTCCGTTGAGGAAACCAACAT